AATACCGGATCAAAGGTACGCGACAACCACATTTCATTCTTGAACCAGCCGCTATACAGTGCACTCGGATACTCTAACAAATATGAACTTCAACTTCAACTCGGAGTATATTCATGTTGAGACAATAACCACCCACAAAAACAAACTCTTGCAGGAAAATACTCAGCTTGTACTAAAGGACACAATCCCTAGCGCTTGTTGAAAGGTTTGCTTCTACAAGACTCAATACTCCTTCTTGATCTTGCACCATTCAGGGTTGTCCAGGACTCCACCGTGCCCACCTCTATATTCCTGCAAACGACCTGTATTCCTAGCCCTTTGCATAAGGTAAACAAATCTACGCGGTCCTGCATACACTCGCGAAGCCTTGGTAGCATTTGGAAGACACTCGCCATAATTTAAAATCATGTAGGCAAGTTCGTTGTTGCTGTTCGAGTGTGCCACTTTGGTTTTTTCGTAAAGGTTTTTTTACCTACGCTGCCGGTGCCTGGGCTGAGGTGCGACGTGCGTTGTGCCTTCTCACTTTTGATTTGATCGAAATCCAGGAGCCGATTAGGTTTGGTTCACGTTTGACTGATTTTTTGGTATATACTATATGCTACTACAAAAATCGCTTGATTTTTCAAGACCTTTATGCCACGGTAAGGAATGTCCGAACAAACTCTTTTACCCGGTACTGACAATCTCATTCCACCATTATAGAATCCTCCAGATGAAATATATGCTCTAAGATAATACAACTCGCAAACGTAGTTATAAATTAATTTGTCACAGCAGCAGTATATCACTACTGGAAACTTAATTATTATTTCCAGACCTCCTTATTGGGAAGAGCGTAGATGTAGCATGGCACGCTATATTTTTGTCACGAACTCCATTTTAAATTCAATTATCTCGTAATATGGCGTTGCTTACTTTTAACGAGTGTAATATACTATTCTATTGAATTGCATTGTCATGTAACTAGCTTTTGGCATTCTAGGTACACTGTACGATTGCAGCGCTGCACTCCTGTACCTGAGGGTGAGCCATTTAAAATTTGGAAATTGAATCAGCTATAAAAAAGAAACTAGTGAACATGTGAACACAAAACATTTGAAAAATTTGTCTAAAAATCCACTATAATATATTCATTGTCTTCCCGAACAATGGTGTCCATGAGACCAAGGCAATCCTATAATACAGTTTGCCTAATTTGCAAAAATGGTGGATGTGCCGATTGTGGTTCTAAGACCATAGCTCGAAGAATCGGCATATTAACACGTTCGCTGCGCATGCCGTTCATCGGCGGCATTTAGTTTCCCACTGCAGTGCTGCAATGTATGACATGTGTATATTCCCATTCCCATCTCCAGTATGATTTTAGCATTCGAGCGGAGTGCACGCATTTTTGTCAGCTAAGGCATCAAAAAAAAGTATTTTATATTCCGTTTGCACTTTCATTAGTCTTCGAGATAGTCAGCTGAGGACTTAGTTAAAAATGAATATGCATACTGCAGCAGGCCCTTCAGGCACTAAACGTCCTAAATTACGCGTTAAAAATGAGAAAAACTTGACAAACCCTGAAATGAAAAATTTAATGTTTCAATGTCATGACGAAATATCTGACCCGTTTGCGGACAGCGGCAGTGAGTAGGAGTACGAGGGTTTGGACACCGATAGTAGCGATGCAGAGTCTGTTTATGATCACGCTGAATGATGAGACAGGTAAGTTTAATTTTTGTGTATTAAACTATTTTCTAGATAAATAATCATTTCAAACGATCCAGACAGAGATGACGATGCCGCTAATTTGTCTCCAGAGCTTCTGGCAGAGCCACAATGACAACAAACTCCGGATTTAAAAGACATTGCTTTTTCCAAACAAAATAAATTATTGGTTGATGTGCCTGGGAGTGAACTAATCGATTATATTTTACTTATGCTGGACGAAAATATCTTGGCCAGAATTGTGGAGCATTCCAATAATTATGCTGTAGATGTACTCTGCGATAAACCAGGAGCGATTCGTTCCCGTATTTCACAATGGAAAGACCTTACAACACCTGAGCTGCTGAAGTTTATAGGCTTACTTTTGCATACAGCAACCATTAGAACGAACAGATTCCAAGACTGTTGGAAAAGAGACAGACTTTTCAATCTGACATGTTTCTCGGAGCAGATGAGTCGCGATCGCTTTTTACTCATTTTACGTTGCCTGCACTTTGTAAAAAATCCATCACCGACTAATCCAAGACCTGAAGATCGCCTGTATAAAATTCGAGAGCTTTTAGATTATTTTAATGAGAAAATGTGTAAAATTTACTGTCCAAGAAAGCAATTATCGTTGGACGAATCGATGGTCTTGTGGCGAGGACGTCATGTATTTTCGTCAATATATTAAAAATAAGAGGCATAGGTATGGCATCAAATTATATATGCTTGCTGAGCCAAACGGTCTAATGCTAAAATTTCTTGTTTATACTGGTCAGTTGGATGATCTCGGTGGTAAGGGCCACATGGATAAGATGGTGTTGAAATTGTTATAAGACGAACTCAACAATGGCCGTTGTATTTTTATGGAAAATTTTTACAACAGTTTTGCGTTGGCTAAAAAATTGTTGGAATTTGGCACGTATTGTACTGGTACTCTACGACTAGATAGGAAAAATAACCCTCTGAAAGTTTTAAAAGCAAAATTGCGAAAGGGTGAAACAGTTTGCAGATATTAGGGTGGCGTAGTAATCGGAAAGTGGAAAGATAAAGGAGATGTTTCGTATATTTCTACTGAGTTTGAAAATAATATGGTGACTGTGATGAACAAACGAGAAGAAAAATCGAAGTCTCTTCCAGTACTCGAATATAATAAGAATATGAGTGGAATTGATCGCCAGGACCAAATGATGACGTTTTTCAAATTGCATTACTCAATTCGTATCATTTCTATAACAAGTATTCCGGATAAAAAAATAAACTTATATGATTTCAGACTGCAAGTTATTACAGCGTTGCTTCCAGAATCAGCTACTCACCAAATTGCGACCAAGAAACAAAACGATCATTTTCCAGGCAAAATTACTGCTGCTGAAAGAGTAATAAGAAAACGATGTAAAAGGTGCCATAAAAATAAAACCAGAAGAGAATCTTTGTATCATTGCGAGGCTTGTCCAGATATGCCTGGTTTGTATATCACAGGATGCTTTGTAAACTACCACCAAAATTTGTGAAAGCAGTGTGTTATAGATGACTTGTTTTATATATTTTTTGCATTATTTCTTTCTTTTTGGAGTATAATATAGTTATGTAGATCTGCTCACCATAACATGTGCCTGTAGATAAAGTTTTTTTAAATACTTTTATAACTTTTATCTTCATTTTACTTGTAGAAATAAAGTATATGTTATATAACATTAGATGTCGTACATAGGCGACATCCGCACTGAAGGGTAAATTTCGCCCAGTGGTGCTGATGTCGCCTATTGACAGGTTGTAACTCGTAAAAATATCACTAATGATGTTTTTGGTCTTTGAATAGGTGATTCATTATAATTATTTGAAAAAAATAGTTCAGGTTCTGGGAGAGGTACTATATTCGAGATACGCAGCGAACGTGTTAAAAAAAATATTGCGTTGAAACGCATTGTAGGAAAGTGTTGGATGGTGTCATGTTGATTATGACCATGATCCTTTCAAGGTCAGTTTCAGGGCAAGTGGATTTAATTATATTTATGCTGGAATAGATCTGGCACGAGTTGGTCAAGAATTTCGGAAACTCAATAAAAGTCGTTGATTTTGCTTTGAGCTGGTAGAGAAAAAAATAAATGCACTAATGAGAACATAGCTTCAGGGCTTTGTATTTTATTGTCTATTAATTTGAGTTTTCTTGTTTTCGTAAAAGATATAAATATTTAAAGGTCATTATCTACTTGATTATCAATTTCATAAACTTGTATGCCATTGATTAGATTCAGTCTTTAAAAAAATGCTGCCTAGGTAGCCGAAACGTCAGTAAACTAGTCCATCCAACATCTGTGTTCCATTTATTAGCCAGTATAAGTGAGATGAATAAGTTACAACAACTTAAAGCAATGTTTCACATGTGCGCTTTTTCATTCGTCTTGGAAATCAACATGACCTTGATTTGACCTTGTAAAGGACATAATCAAAGACAAGGAAACAACCACGACACTGTGCCCTTGAAAATGTTGGTTGGTAATTTTTTTGCCTTTAACCCAGATTTCTGCTCTACGGAGCTGAGGAGCATCAAGACGTGTAAATTCAGCACCTCAGATATAATGATAGACATAAAAAAAAGAATAAGTAATACAATTAATATAATACAAAGAATCTATAATATACAAGTAATCTTCTGACGGCCCAGATTTTTCCCCTACCGTATTCAACCAATTTTTATTAAAACACTGCAGGCAGCAGCGGTAGCCGCAGTAGTAGAATCATCCGTCTCCTGATCAGTCGCCGTGCACTGTGCGGGTTCGAATCTCGTCCCAAGAAAAATTTTTCTCTTGGCTATGGATGTTGTGATTGTCCGTAGGTGGTAGACGGTCTCTGACTGTCGAACGCGTAGGTACCACCCGGCGGATCTCGTAGGCGGGGCCAGAATGGAATAACGATAATTAGTTTTTCATGTAAACTAGTGGAACTCATGTTTATATGTTTAAAAGTCTGAGAGGTTATGTTGGTGTTTACAAATGGTAAGACGTCAAAATACAGTATTATGGGTCCAACATGGCGGACAGCGTTATCGTCTGTCTAAGAGTAATATATGTTTAACCTAAAATTTTACAGTCTTTCAGATCTGAAAAAATATTTTTGGTTTAATAGAACAAATAAGAGCTACGTAAGCAATGTCAACTAGCCGGTTGAGATAAATATTTCATAAGTTGCATAATATAGCAAATAATTATGATTTACTTATTTCACTTATCCAGTAAATAAAGGAATCAACTGTTTATGACCTTGAATGGTCCGCCAACCTTACTTAAGTTTCATTTTCGTTTCAGGAATTGAGATAGTAACGAGACAGTCGTTCCTGTCCGATCCCACAGACGCAGTGAGGAACTTGAGGAGGCAGGACTCTAGGGTGATAGTAGGACTTTTTTACGTAGTAGCTGCTAGAAGGGTGTTGTGCGAACTCTACAAGCAAAACTTGTACGGAAAGCAATACACTTGGTTTTTTATAGGTAAGGGGCTTTTTGAATAATTTACGCGAAACATTCTTGTATTCTGTTTTATTAAACTCTAGTAGTAGGGGTTATGCTGGTGGTGGGCAGGTTACCTTTCACCCTTTTTTCCTCTAAATGTCGACGTACTATTTCTTTCTACTATTTTAGTCGAAGATTGCATAACAATTATTCACTGTGTTACAGAAACAATTCTGTGTGGGTTTTTGCCTTTCCTGGAGGGTTTTTGGAGTTTTCGGGACGATGGACAAGGGTGATGTGTCTGGTGCATTCTCATGCTCGCTTGCCATTATGGATTGCCAGACTTCATTTTGGGATCGTCAGTGCCTACTCCAGATGGTACTGGCCCATGCTGGTTTTGCGTGGTGTCATCTTAAAAAAAGGGGGAAGAAAAATTGTGTTTTCTATTTAATTCAGTTATGGGACAACCTTTTAGCATCACTAAGCATTACTTATGTAGGCTTTTCTCAGAGTAAGGGGATTTAGCAATCTGCAATTTTGTTTGGGAATACAATAATACATGTGTGTTTCCTTGTAGGCTGGTATGAAGACAATTGGTTCGAAGTGGTGATAGAAAAAGAAAATATTGAATGTACAGTAGATCAAATGCGTATGGCAGCCGAAGGTCACATAACGACAGAAGCACTGATGTGGAATCAGAACAAAAGGGAGCGTACCATATCCGGTATGACGTCAGAAGACTTCCGGTTACGATTGAACGACGTGCTCAGACAGGAGGGGTATGACATTGATAACCAGAGGTATCCAGAGGGGTACCAGGAAGCACCTTTGGCATATGACGCAGTGTGGAGCGTTGCTTTAGGTAAGCATTATTCAACTACAGCACTTTTTTGCTTTCCGCTTGACTGTCTCCAAGACTAGACCTGGGTGCTAAAAAGCGCGAAGCAGCCTTGCTTTCGGTTTATCGTGGGTCATGGTTACCACGACGGAAAGTAAACATTTTCACTTCACCTAGTATAAAAATTATAAGCAGTGAGAATAATTTTGTAAAGATTTAGAGGTTAGAAGCCAGAAATGAATTTACCACACAACCACTGCGTACCCGACAACTGAGCGCATCCTAGTTCTAAATATTTGAATTTTGTTTACTCTGGCCCCCCTGCCGATTGGGGGACCACCGCACCGCAGGCTTGAGGTTGCCCGGGTATGTCTTCGAATACAATTTACCTTTACTGAAATGGCGAACTTGAACCTGCAGGTACCGACTCAAAGTGTCAAAAAATTAGTTTCTGTAAATCTTGCTGATTTTGTTTTCTTGAGCATAATTTCACAGCAGTACTTTTTTTTTTTGTTTTGCAGCATTCAACAAGACAATGGATAGGCTGCACAAATATGGCAAGAGCCTAAAAGACTTCAATTATAATAATAAGGAAATTGCTGATGATATATACTCGGCAATCAATTCTACCCAGTTCTTAGGAGTATCGGTAAGTCATTGCTAAAATAATTTAATAATAAAGAATTTATTGCCCAACAGTACAGATACCGTTTAGAGAGTAATACATAGTACAATGGTTTAATTTACTTTGTCTGTGTGCCTTAAAGTGAAAAGAAGCTATGAATATGATTAATAGATAGAATACACAGAAAGATATTGACAGTGTCACTTGTCTTTTATCAACAGTGACGTCTGTCATATGGTTGCTCTACTGTACAACCTATTCATATAGAATTTCATACGTTTTGATGATATAGAGGGTGTCTGCGAAAGGTTGGGAAATATCGAAACTGGAGTTACTACAGACCAAAATATGTGAATTGACATAAGCATACCTCAGTCCAAAAGTTGATAGTTTGCGAGATACAGGGTGTCAAAGTTTCAATTTTATTTTATATCTTTCCTTATTGCTTGAGAATTATTACAGATTTTGGCATAAAACTCGGTATAGGGAGGTTTTCTGGTATGAGAAACAAGAATCCGTCCAAACTTCTAAAGAGCGCCACTTACAGCACTATTTCGGTAAATAACTTATCATAACTTTTTTGCGCTACCCTGTATACACCAACTGGTCGAATAATCTTATTCTCTTGTATCTCCACAACAAAAAAGGTTTACTTGATAGAAGTGTCTTAAGCTGATGGTTTTCGGGATATTTGTTTTTAGGTTCCAATGCATTATTTATACCGAGATGATAAAACATTTTTATAACATAATAATCAAGTTGCTTTGGATAATATCTGGGTAGCGTTGCTATGTTTTTTAATGTTTATCATAAAATTGCTTTAAACTTCATGAACAATTTTAAGTTGAGAATAAGTTGTTAAACATCATGGAGTATACGTTTGATTAATATTCTGATATGCATTTAATGTACGGATTGGCAAGATGTAATGCTTAAAAAATAAATATCTCGAAAGCTATTAGCTTTAGACACTTCTAACAAGTAAACCTTTTTTGTTGTGGAAATACGAGAGAATAAGATCTTTCGGCCAGTTGTTGTATACAGGTTAGCACAAAAAAGTTATGATAAGTTATTTACCGAAATAGTGTAAGTGGCGCCCTCTAGAAGTTTGGCAATAGAAAATAACGGGTTCTTGTTTTTCATCCTAGAAAACATTCCTATACCGAGTTTTATGCCAAAATTCTGAAATACTTCTCAAGCAATAAGGAAAAATAGAAAATAAAATTGTAAGTTTGACACCCTGTATTTCGTAAACTACTCAACTTTTTGACATAGGTATCTTAAGGTCAATTCACATATTTTGGTCTTTAGTATCTCCAGTTTGGAAATTTCCCAACCTTTCGGAGACACCCCATGGTGTCCTAAGTGTCAGAGCACGGAGTATTGCTCCTGAATAAAAACTTACCAAAGAAAACTATTTATGGATTATTATACATTGCATCCGAGGGCGCACTTCTATAACACTCACCATTATACAGGGTGTGCCAAGGCCAAGACCGTACTTAGGTCCTTTTAAAAGAGGAAGATTGATATAATCTTCTTTAAAAAAACACAAAATTTTGAAAGGCCTGGTTACCTACAGGTTAATGTATTGATGAAAAAAACATAGGTACTTAGAATTACGACCATAACCTTAAGGGTCATGTCAAGGTCGAGTCACTTCTTTTCGATGAGACACTCCTTTTTGGTTGATCATATTATCCGGTGACGGATCTCGAACCTATCGGCCGCGGCTGCTGCTGGCGTCGGGCTCCCATCGTGACGAGTCTGGTACGGAATTACAGGAATGTCTGCCTATACTCGCTAAGAGTCGGCTAAAGGCGACGTTTCTAAATGCACTATCGGTAGGGCATGAAAAGAATGTCTATGAACTAATTGGATGGACCTGTTTGACTGACTTTTTTCTCAGAACGTCTGACCATATTTCTTAATGTACTGATAAGAGCGTTGCATAAGAAGTGCAGAGTCCACCTTCTTAGACAAAATACCCAATAGCCCAATAACTAATAATCAAACCCATAAGTAGGTTGGTCAATCATCTTCTCTTAAAAGAGTCTATCCGGGTGTGTAATAAAACGTCGGGTCTTCCATTTAAAATAAATATTTTTGATGTGGGGCAAAATTGGGTATAATTGTGAGTATCTTAGAAATGCGCGCTCGAATAGATTTATAATATCTATAAATAGCTTGCATGGAAACGCTTCATACGATTGTTAAGAGCCCATGAGAACTTTTGATTAGGATGCTCTGGAGAGCGTATTCCCAAAGTTTAGACAAGATTCACCGGGGACTGATTTCGGTAATGTTTGTGCCCCGTCCTTTACTTTATATTTCTATACAAGCTTCTGAACTTTATAATTAAAAAGTCGCATACTGCCTTGACTTCGCGACAGGCATCTCAAATATTCTCGTTTGGCTGCATAACACTCGCCAAGAAACATCAGATATTGCTAATAAGACTTTCTCTTTCGACCTTTGGCCTCAGTTGAAACGACATCTGAATACAAATAATCGCCCTTCAGAAACAAACGAATAACTTTTAATAATATTACGTCGAAGTTGCGGGACTTGGCATAAAAGTTATTCATACAAAACGGATTCCCCCGAGATTATATGAAGGGCGAGGGGGTAGAAAGGTGGGGTTCCAGTTGTCGTAACTTTTATTGACCATAAATCAGCGATGTACCTCAAAAAACGAACTCGGGAAGAACAGCGATAGGCTTCTTGCAGCTACGGATGTTCTACTGTGTACAAAATGTGATAAATGTGAATGAATTTTTAGTCGCCGGTAGGACAGCTCTGAAAGATTATCACTGGTGAAAGGGCAATCGGTGATTTTGAAATTGTCTCTTTCTGTAGATCAACGGTGATCTTTTTTCCTCTATTAGGGTTATCATAGTCATGGAATCAAAGTCAACTAACTTAATTAACTTATCCAAAAAATGTGTAGTGCACGGCTTGGTTCAGTTATTTATTCAGTAAGGTTATCAAAAATTAGTAGCGGTTTTCACTCAACATGGCAGTATACAATAGAATCTTATAGAAACATCCAATTTTCGTGAACAAAGGTATTAAATGAAAGCGGAAATAGCAAAAGTATGAACTTGGTCGGGGTTCTAAATGACTGCAAAACGTAATATTTGTTATTGTGACAGAGTGGTGGCACTGTCACATGACAAGTAACGGATGATCGTCATTAGCCAGTTTATCTCACTTCTATCTGGCTAGAACTGTCAGAAAATAGTTATCGTTGATGATGTCCTTTTGCACGTTATACTATCATGAAAATGTTTATAATATTCTATATGTAAAAGTTGAACTTATTTTTGAGGCTTCCGGCATTCCCTTTACGTACTCCACACTGGAAGATAGGTCTGAAGGTTACTTGAATCATAAATATGAAAAAAATATTTCTAAGAACATGGTATTATTGAAGCGTATTTAGTCAATACAAGTTTTAAAATCAATATCCTTACCTACTGATTACGACTTAATATTTAAAAGAAAGCTTATCGCTTCGCATATTCATAGAGCTACGCGCTGCCTATATTAATTAAACGCCAATACAGTTTGCACGAAAAACTTTTAAGTCTACGTGAATTTATATACGAACCGCTACGGTTTTCTGTACGTTATACTGTTCCGGTTCGTGAAAGATTATATTGCGCGTAGCTACTGGGGTATAAGACACTCAAAAAGATTCAAGATCTGCCTTCCATATTTTTCAAGTATTATGAGAATAGTTTCAAAAATGAGCTTCCCAACACTGTAACTTTGCCGGGAGTGACGCTAGGCGAAATTTGGCAACACCGTCGAGCTCTTCGGCTCCCCCACCACCGATCCCAATAAGAATCGCCTATTGGCGACGCGCAGTTGCGGCCTGGCAGCTAGGGGCAATGAAGCCCTTTATCGCCGTCACCGTCAGGTGCGTCATTCGATTTTTGCGTGAAAAAACGTTACATCCCTTAGAAACTCATCACCAGTTGTGTGAAATATATGGGAAACGTGTATAAACATCCAAAATATCCTAAATCACTGAAGAGATTATTTTTGAGACAACCCTCGTATTTAATCGTTTTTGGAATACACATAAAAAATTGTTCGTTCCACCGATAGGCGATTGTAACTTTATAATATTTCTAGCTTTTCTTGATGCTTCCTTGATGTATCGTGAATTACTTCAAAGTATCTAGAAGCATTTCGTATGTAAAGGGTGGAGCATCAGTTGGTTTTTTTAAGTTGGTATTATTTTGACAGTTGGTAACACTTCCATGCTCAACATATTGACAGATATATTGTGTCAAACTTCCTCTGTGTGCAATGCATCATTTTAACCTTGAACAAAGGTGGGAAATACTGTAAAGTAAGTGCTGTGTTGCAGAAATTTTGCGAAAATTGAGAAGACTATTTGGTCAGAATGAAGCTCCTTCCGCGACTGGTATACGAAAATTCGTGAAGAAAGTTAGTGAAACTGGCCTGCTTGTGTATAACAGAAAGTATGAGCGTGTTCGAGCCGTACGTACAGCCGAAAACATTTGTGCTGTTGCCCAGAGTGTGCGTGAAAACGCAAGAATGTCGACTCGTCACAGAGCACAACAAGTGGGCATCAGTCGCACTTCTGTGCGAAGAACATTGCATAATGACCTAGGATTACTTGCTTACAAGGTGCAACTTGTGCAAGGATTGAAACTCTAAGTCAATTGGAAACGGACGTCAATTTTGGTCGACAAATCATCTTTTCGGCACGAATCCCATTTCCATCTGGGACGCTACGTTGACAAGCAGGATTTGGGGGTTCTGAAAATGCACACGTCGTCATAGTAAAACCAATGCATCCAAAAAGAGTAACAGTTTGGTGTGGCTTTTGGAGGGGTGGGATTATTGGTCCCTACTTTTTCAAGATGAAGATGGTAACAGCGTGACGGTAAACGGAGAACGCTATAGAGACATGTTGAGGAGTTTTTTGTCTCCACTATTAGACGACATGCACTTGCACGATCTCTGGTTCCAGCACGATGAAACAA